GGTCACCAGTCCCAAAATGAATCGTAGGGAAGAATGTCTCGCAATCACGCGTGAGCTACGACCTTATATAAGGCTGGCCTTCCCGCAGAGGCTTTAATGACGACATACCCCAGCTGACACTGGTCGGTTGGTACCATCACTCGCTGGGTGGTTTCGAAGAATCCACAAAGCTACGGTGAGTGGTTCTCCTTTCAGTCACTTGTGTGCCCTGGGGGTCTCGAGCTTTAGTGGGGTTGGTGGAGACGTTTGGTCGGATAGTCACAAATTGTTATGATCCTTTCAGGCTCTGAAGAAGGCGATTCCGCCGAAACGTCAGCCTAATAAAGAATACTTTAAAAACCTCGTGAAGAGTTCAAGAAAGCAGTAAACTCAATGATACAATTATGCCGAGGTTTATAGAAAGCCGTACATGGAGTTAAGTTTTAATTAAATACTTTTGGCACACAGAATTAGATCCACACCACTCTACTAAAGAAGGAATTGTGAAAATAATTCCTTGCGAAGTTGACCGATTTCCTTTTCAGCGAAGGGTGTGTATATGCTTCCACAAAATGAAGCTCTCATACAAAGTGAGATTATGAGAAAAGGACCAGTACAAGCAGTATTTGTCGTCTATGAAGACTTTGGCGCCTACAAAAATGGTATCTATGTGGTGAGCAGATATTTAGCATTCTATGTGCATCCTACTGTCCCAAAATAGTAGATGCTCTCTCCAGTTGACATTGAAAGCCTTCAAGTCTGGGTGCAAGCGCCTTTACCGTTAAGGCTGTGCCTTCAGAGGTTAACCAGATCTTTGTTGCATTCTTATCGAGCGTAGCCTCACAGAATCAGTTCTACATGAAGTTTCAGTGACCTTCACCACACATATGCAGCATCATAACACTTATCGTTCCTTTCTTTTATAAGGCCATGGGAAAGATCGACGAAGGTATTGTACTAGTTGGAAATCCGCTTTTGCCGCTATAGAACTAGGTTGAAGTCTGGCCCTCGCGTGTTTTTGGAGCTGAACAAAAGACCTCAAGCCTAATGAAAGTGGCTGTCCTGCAGCATAGCCTCAAGGCTTAATCCTGTGAATTATATTAAACAAAGTGATTATTTTTTTTCCTTTTTTCAGCACGTAGGAGGTAGACAAGCTGGAGCACACGCTGTGAAAGTCATTGGATGGGGAGTCGAAAATGGCACCAAGTACTGGACGATTGCTAACTCGTGGAATTCTGACTGGGGAGAGAACGGTTGGTCTTGCTGGGCTTTTTCTCTTGAAACTGCTCTAGACTTCCTTCTTACTCTGCAGCTCATCAAAAGCGGAAATGGGTAAGGCACTTAAACTTTGTAGGCATCAGTGTATTCGCTCCCTATTTATCACTTGAATAAACCACCTAAGTACAGGTGGGATTTTTTCATTGAGATAAAAGGCGCGATAAGCACGGCAGACAATTTAACTGAACAAGTGCATGGGGATGGTAGCCTTATCGTCGAAAGTGCTAAAATAGGCTCAACGTTAGGTTGCGGAGGAAGCAAAACACGCCAAAGTATGTAATCAAAGCAAGAGAGATAGGAGTTGTGTGAGAGTGTGTTCCGCTCTGGAATAGTGCCAAAAATTCCTGTTTACTGATGTGGATGAATCTGTTATGGTGGCACTTCTAAATCACAAAAAGCCAAAGTCGAATCTTGGAAACGTTAGAAATTTTTCATACTTTCGAAAGTTATTTTTTAGGTTACTTCCGCATACTACGTGGTGTAAACCACTGCGAAATCGAATCAGAAATGGTTGCCGGAACTTTCTGATCATAAATGATAGTTCGATATTCTGTATTGATATATCGATTGGAATGAATCATTCAAATGACTGGTTATGAGTGCAAATTTAAGGTTCATAGTTGATAGACTTATGTTTAACGAATCCGCTATGATTGCCTTTTGTGAATGGTCGTTCAGAATTAGATCGTTGTGTAAGAACTCCATACCAATTGGTTGGATAGCCTAGAATATCTTCTGTTTCTTCGAATTCTGTTCGGATACCATTAGGGCTTCCCGTTCTCACCCCAATTTTTGCTGGCTCCCTAATCCGGCTCGCAAAAAAACCTTACATCGCACACACCATCGAATGAAAACAGAAGCAGAGTTAGTTTTTAAGGGCAACCATCCTGAGCACCCCTTATCAACTTGGTGTATCAGTTTGTAGGCTTTTATGTTAATTGCTTGACCTTTTTATGATTTATGAGAGAGATTGGAATCTAAGGAATCGCCTCTGAAGCCGTGAACACCTGTTCGGAGACCACGTGAAATAATGGCTTAAGAGCGGCTTTTGTAGATGCTCTACTGAGGACTTACTTATTCTTAGACAGTAGATTAGTCAATGGCAGATTGTTGACAGTAAGGATGGCGATTTCCAAGAAGGCATTCGAAATGGTAAATTACAAAAAAACTCGGAGTCAACTCAGGAAAGCCTGCACATCGGACGGTCCCAAGTTTTAAGGAAGAAGAAGAAAGTCTAACCAACAAACCCTCCCTATCCCTCATCTCTGACGTCGCACTTCAAGGAATTATATTCATAATGGAAATAATGAATCCTTGAAATTTTAAAGTATTCGGTTTCCCTCTTTTTGGGAAACTTACGCAAGTGCTTCTCAGCACGAAGTGGGTTTGGACAAATTAATCCGATAATGATAGACGACATGGAAGACTTGAAAGGGCCAGGGAAGTCGTCTACAATGTGGCGTGATTTTCAGATGAAAAATGCATCCACAACACTGGTGATGCATTATTCCGCTGACCACGCTCTATTCTGAGATAGCGCAGGGTCGCTAAAGCTTAAGAAGGGAAGGAAAATGGGGGTACTGGGGAACTCAGTCAAGTCTCCCAAGACCTACATATGGCGCACTGGCTATTAGTTGTATTACATGGGAGTTTGGATAAGATTTTTGCATAAGCATCCAGCATTATATTCTTTCCTGCAGAAAATTCACCTGTATCACCTGTCGTCCCGTTGATCATCGAAATCCTCGAGCGGGCGCCAGTAACGTCTCCATTCGTCCCTGTCACGAGCCAAAGTGGTCCAGTGAACCGTTCTCGCTTCAGGGACACGAGGTTCAACATTCCTTTCGTTCAGAGCTTTCGTGAAGAAGTCTGACCATCTCGTCGGCGGCCTTCCTGGTGTTCGTTTGATGTCCCGAGGGATCCAGTCAGTAACCGCCCTGGTCCAACGGTCATCACTATATCGCATAACGTGTCCGGCCCACCTGATCTTCGATTTCTTGGCGTAATCAACGGCATCCCTGATCTTCGTTCGGTGACGGAGCTCGGAACTCCGGATTCCCTTCTGCACTTGCGTGTATAGGAAAATTCCGAGCATCGTCCTTTCCAAAGCGCGTTGAATAACGCTGACAGCATGCTCATCCTGCTTTCGTAGAGTCCAGGTCTCCGAGGCGTACGTCAAAGCAGGAAGGACAGCAGTGTCGAAAAGGTGAGCGCGGAGCCGGATGTTCTTTGTCTTCTTCACTACTCCCTCGATATTCTTAAATGCTCCCCACGCGGCGCGTTTCCTTCTGCACAGCTCNACAGCGTGCAGCGGGCGATGCCTTCTCGTCTCGGTCAGTCCGATGACGTCGTACTTGATCTTCCTAGCTTGCATCATCAGGTCTTCTATACACGCTTCCGATGCAAGCGTCCGTGCGTTGAAAGTACAGATCGCCATCTTAGTCCTTCTCCTTTTGGGCAGCCTGTTTTGGCCCTGAGATTTTAGCAGCCTCTCCCGAGCGGTCCTACCCAACGCTGCCGTATTGGGGGCTCCCTCAGGTTCAGGGGAATGAGGCCCATTTCTATTACTGTTTTTGGCGTGAAGATACCCAACGTGCAGCTTGCCAGGCTCTGACGTGGGGGCTATTGACTCCGGGGGCTTGCCAGGCTATCCCGAAGTGGACAAGGGGCTTTGTTTTTGGAGGCGGCCCCGAATCGCCTCCCAGATACTTCCCAGTGTGACGTGATCGTCACTCGAATGCAAGCTTTTGGCCGAGTCGATGGGCAGGATACCAACTGCACCCACAGACTCTCCACACACGTATGCATGGATCGCCAGCGAGGAACAGAGGGTATATCGACCCAGCACAGCAGAATCAAGGAGTCCATCCCCTGAATCCACCTGCGTCTCTGGGCAAGTACCGGTGACTTTTGGTCGGCGATTAATTCCCCTATCCGCCACCTGGGGACGCCCTACGTAGCCTCGTCACTAACCGGCTGGGGATCCTTCAGTGAGAGAGAACCCTCAGTGAAAGGAGATCCGTAGCTGCAGAAAATTATTGATCTAAAAACTTTCTGGCGCATTCCTTCACTTTCTCTTACAGATTATGACTTAAAACGATTTCCATATTTTTGCTATGACATGACGTCTGATAAAGCCATTCTGGTGATAAGACACTGCAATTTTCACGATTACAGTAACATCCAGTTAATTAATCGTTCACCAAAGATTCACTATCATACAAGAAGGGGGCAATGTTGGTAAGTTAACAGCCATAATGCATAATTATTTGCATATTTTACTTTGTTTGATTGTCCTATTAAAAGGGTCACGTTAAACTAAAATGAAGTCGATTAAATTCTCCCCTCAAAAAAAAATTTCAATTCTTCTTTTCGCGATTGAACCAAAGCCAACCCTGAACACCATTTCGGAAACCATCTGTGAGAGTATGGTAGAAGAGTTGTTTTTCATTATTTTAGGTACCACTCATACTCGTTATATTCGTCATCTCCGATTCGTTTCAAAGAGAGTCTACAGTAGGTGAGTGATACTCGATGCATACTTTACATCGAAATCCTAGCATACAGCATCAGCCACAAAAGCTCGCGTCCACTTATAGTTCTGCTTATTCTTGATCTCATTTACCTCACTCACTTCAAAAGTAAAGTCAGCCTCAAAGCCAAGCATGAAGCTTCTGGACTACGGTTTCTGAATTTGGTTTCTCAGAGGTAAAGCTTCTCAGGCTCTCACTTTGAGATGAAGTGAGCGGACGGAAGTTCAACTTGTAGTTCATTGATATAGGAACTTCTAAATCGCCTTTGATTGGGGAGTGTCCAAAAGCATTGAGGTCATCCTAAAGACAAGTCAGTCCATTGATTTTCCGGGAAATCAATGGACTGACTTGTCGGGAAGCTTTCCAGTTTGTGGGTATACATACGTTTACTATTACACAATTCTATACCTTCCTAATACAATCTTAATGCCGTGTCTTACACAAGTTTTCTTATGCCAGGGCCGTCAGCTCACCATGTAACCAGAACTGGGTGCGCACTATCGTCTTTCCGCTCGTACAGCTCGCTTGCTGCGGGTCCACTTGCCACGCTGGCTGCGGTCTCGAGGCGTGGTGTGTGTTCACATTGTCCTCGCTATTTCATCATCTTGTTTCCTTGTTATTGCTCTACTGCTCCCCTTCGTCTGCACTTTCATCGTTCGTCGTTATCCTCCTTGTTCGTCGTTGTACCCACGTCTTAAATTTTGTGTTCCATTGTCAGGTTCGCAATCGCAACAACATCTACCGTCTCTCGCCTGATGGAGTAAGGTCTGGATCTTTAAGGTGTCAGTGGGAGGATTGGTTGCATACTGCGGGAAAACTACTCCTCCACACAGCTTGCATCTTCCGCAGCTAAACGTCACAGATGTACACTGGGGAGTTAGCAGGGGACACGTAAGAGCTCGGGGGAGCAGGGGCTCACGGTCCGATCGTAACACACGTTGCCAAGCACAATACAGTGCCATGGTAAGTAGTATCGACGGCACCTAGTGATGCAGGATCCTGTCCGTAGGTAACTTAATACTTCTGTTTTTTCGTAGACAGAGGTTAAAAGTACTATCGTTTAAGGTTCTGCTTTAAGTAACATCAGCGCGTTGATCACATATCTTATTTACATCATATTACTTGTTGTGTGGATCATATAGTAGGACCACAATCGTAGTATGGACATATTTATTAGAATCCACATGTGAGTGGGCAATAACAAGATGGGATTTTCTTCGTAATACCGTTCAAAGGCAAAGCACGGAGAATGATAAATTAAGGGCAACGCGAGATAGACCATCGTAGGTGCAGAAGAGCAAGTGCCCTATCAGGGGTTGAACCGATTGAACTGAGCATCACAGTTCTCTGAAGAAGGACTCTCCAAGTGGCTGCCAATGCATGCTGCCCCCTTCTTGAAGATGCAAATTAAGCGAATATAAGTGTAAAGTGCCACATACTCTCAGTGTTTGACACTTCCTAACGGAAGGACCTAGAAACTAGCAATAAGTATAAGGATTCATAAAATAAGTGTGACTGAAACTTACGAATTCCATAAGATTCGGCCTTCATATTGGATTTGCCTTTTTCAGAAGAGTTCGCTGCTCAACCAATACCAAAATATGCTCAGGAGTTGACTGGAGAGGCACTGGTAAAATATGTTAACAAGAAACAGTCGTATTTCGAGGTCTGGTTTTCCACGATACTACTAATATATGAAGCTTTTAAATGTTCCTTATAACGGCCTTCTACTCAGGGTTCTCCTAAGAGTGACCTGAGAACTCCACTTGCAGATTCCATTGCTTTTTTATCCCTCTCCGGAGACGAAAAAGTTCGAGGCTCAAAATGAGGAGGGTTATTTTTATATGCCAGGTGCACCTACTATTGGGCTATGGCATCATTAAGAGACGTTAGAACGAGTTTAGGGAAGAGGGATTCGACGTTCTCCAGAAAAGAATTCACCGTAATGAACCATTTTTCTGCTGGAATTTTAAACAATTTTTAATCTTTTGGGCTCCAATCTATTGTTGAGACTTTACGCGAGGAATGCAGGTTGACATATTCCTCCTTAATGGTGTGCAGTGAAGATCATGTTCGATGTCATGACGGTCCTTCTCATGATCAAAAAATTAAAATGATTATAACAATGCGCAGCAGCTCTTGGTTGACAACCGAGGGAACATAACGTCTTTTTATATTCCAGTGCTATAACTACTTTCTTTTCCTCAAAGGCTACGTAGCCTCGACTTTCTTTCACATTTATTAACATTCAGGCCAAATATTCTCCAGAGCTTGCCGAAATTGCCGAAAAGCGTCTGGGCAGTTTAATGAAAATGGAATTTCTTCATCAACCACCTGGAGAACATCGAATGATGATGCCAGCAGAGTCCGTTCTGAATCAACAATATCCGGAGAGGTGACTGTTGCGATATATCCATGAGATTTTATTAGTGATGGTGATCAGCCCTAGTCTTCAAAGCCATTCAGAGATAGATAGTCAAAGCCTACTTTAAGAAAACTAAAAGGCTTCACGTCTCATGATAAAAGGATATAAGGCACGTCAGGGTAATCCCTAAAAGGTCCTGAACATCTAAGGTTTTCACACTGACTGAGAGATGAGGAATCAGAGTACCGCAGTGTAGGGATTCGTGCCAATTTACAGCATATAAGCTAAAAGTCTAAATTGAGCAGATTGCAATTGCAGCTTCCCGCTTCTGATCGTAATTTTAATTGTAATTTATTATTGTAAATACTGGATTTCGGAACCTACCCGAAAATTCCAGACGAAGACGTGGTTGAGTAGCGGTAGCGCTGTGATACCCAGAAAAAACATAGTTTTGAAACCAAGAGTAGAGCTAGAGTTACGAAGATCAAGGGAACCTGC